GCTAATGACAACATTTTCCAAATCCTATGTTTCAGGATCAAATGATTTCCGGACAGATTCACTGGCCCTTTGTGAGGTAAACATATCACGGCCTCTCATGAACCATACATCCTGGTATCAACAACTATGGCTAATTCTAAGCTTGGCTGTGTGACTTGTTTGGGCCCATGAGACAAAGAGTCACTCATACAGAGGCTTGGTGAGCACCCTTGGGACCAGTCCCCAATATGTACAGAACTCTCAGGGGGGACTGCAGAATATTCCAAAGTGACCGAGAGTATCCCCTGGAAGACTGGAGGCCACCTTGTCCATCCTGGTTCCCCAGCCAAGCTCCCTACCACCCAAGGTCCTATGATGCAGCCAATGACTCAGAGCAGAAGAACCACTCTGTTGAGCCCTGTCAACTCAAGACACTGAAGAAATAAGAAATCATTGTTTAAGCTGCTATATTTTGGAGCCATTTTCTATAAAGCTGTAGATGACTGGGACTGGGACTGACCCTCCTTACTGCTCTTGCCATTTTTACTCATGATTGGATCCTGGCCATTCGAAAGCATGTACATGTTCTTGCATATCCATCTAGATTATACACATCCTTTCTGGGTACATGTATGGGCACACTCCCCAACATGCACACACACACACATACACACACATACACACTCACCCCCTCTTTCACACACACACACATACACACAGTTGCATTCATATACGCACTTGAAGCTACACCAGTGTGCACTGGGATATAGCCTTGATCACTTAGAGTATTGATCACTTAGAGTACTTACACTCCCTTGTACGTGCCTGCTTATAGGTGCATGCACAAATGTGCATGCTCTTGTGAACTCCCAAACACCAGAGCAAATAAAAGCAACCATACACAGTGATAGCCTAAATAAATGGCATCTGAGGGACACACACACACACACACACACAGAGTCATTCATGTCTGAACTCATAAACACCCTAACCCTCCAAGCCCATGGGCCTGCTGAAAAAGGTCCCAAAGGTGTTCTCACTAGCATAGTCTCCATACTTGGCTCCATTCTTACAGAGTTTGGTTTGGCCCCAGTTAATGGGGCTCCCAGCCCCACCCCACATCTGCAGTCCCTATTCCCCCCATCCTGCTCTGCAAGGCCACAGTCCGTGGTATCTTCATGGAATGGAGAAATCACATGAGAGGAAACCACATGTCGAAAGGAGGTGAGAATTAGGAGAAAGCATTTCCAAATATCTGGACTTCAGCTCCAACCGGGAGCCTGCAATGGCCAGGAGGTGCCAAAGTGCTTTCCCCAGTGACCAGCACGCTCCCATTGACAGGCCAGAGAAAGCATTTACTCTTACAGCCTTATAAAGCGTACCTGCCTTTTGCGTATTCGGTCTACTTGGGCTGGCCTCAGCTGGGCTCTTGGGGATCTACAGCTCCCACATCTAACACAGGAGTGTAATGCCTTTGATGTTCTCAGGACAAAATCCCAAGCTCTTAATCATGCTGGTTCCTTCCCCTTTGCACATTTCAGCCATTCAGAATCACCAAGCTTCTCCAAAGCTCCTTGTATTCCTCACCTTCAAGGTTCATGCATGGGAGGTCTCTCTGCTTAGCTTGAGTACTCCACTTGCTCCTCAGCTCGTATATCCCAAGCCTAGTAAGGGCTCCTCTTCTTCAATCTCCACATACCCACTGTTTCCTGTGTTGTAGTGCTTAACTGGGTCAGCTTGCCTTGTAGACACCTTGTGCCCCTAACATAGGCTCAGAGCTCAGCACCAGAAAGGACTCCATAGAGATCTGTTGAATGAGTAGAGTTTTCAGTTGGGAAGACTCTTATTCATTCTATCACTCCTTTTCTTCCTTGCCCACCAATGTCTTACATGCTGCATAAGAGGAAGTAGAGGTACAATACTACATAAGTGAAGCCCTGAGGATGCAGAGGTGGGTCTAGGCAGCTCTGCTCTCTACGAGCTCCCAGTCTCAGAGGAGACAGACACAAGACTGGTTAGGACAAGAATGAGGCCACACAGGCCAACCTGGAAGACAACAGTGGCTCCACTGAGGTAGGTGATTTCTCACTCATGTGAAAGTCTAGGTTCATTGGGGAACTTGATTCTAGGAAAACTCTGGGGCCCTGACCCCTTTTACCCTGTTGGATTTGCAGCAAACCTGGAAAGCTGTGTGGAGAAGTTCTGGTGGGTGCCTAGCCCCAGCCTCCTTGGGTTGAGTTCTCTAGTTGTGGCTGTTATGTGGGAGGTTGGATATTTGTAAAGCTGTGGGGGAAGTGGAGGCTAACTCTGTCTCATTTGCATTTTTCTTGAGATATAGATTTCTCCCTCCCCCCTATTTCACAACTGGAAAGCCAGAGTGACTACATATCCTAGTGAGCACTAGCAGCTATAATTCCTAAAGTGAATAGCATTTATTGACCACCTACTATATGAGTACTTTGCATGTATCACCTCATTTACCTCTTCCAAACAGCTAGGTATTTTCCTTAGAAGTACATAAAGAAGCTGAGGCTCAGAGATGGTAAATCCAGGATTGGTTCCTGGCCTTTTCTGATTCCAGGACTCTGGGGAAGCTGTGGGTTTGAACACATTTTCAATGCTGTCAGATCAGCCCTCAATCACAAAAATGTTACAGATACAACCTTTTTCAGGCTGGCTACCTTAGCATTCCCCAGGGCCTCTAATGTCCTGAAAGAGAAAAATCAGTTTGTAGATTAAGGAAGGAATGAAACAAACTACCTAGTTCAAGTCTTCTGTTCAGAGTCCTTGGATGATTTCTTGGCTGGTACCACCTAGGTAAGCGACTCTCTGGCACCCCCTTGTGGTTATTGACTGCGTCCTCAAGAATACTCATGTCACTGGGACACTGCTCAATGAAACACATCCAAGAACCACTGCAGCTGAAACTGGAATCTAGAACCCTTGGCCCTTTCTACAGCATCACTTTCGCTCCTGTAGTCATCCATGGTAGCTGACTGATCAAGAAATGTTACATTTACTCTATGTAAGAACTGTATTATAAGTTCAATACTTTCTGTTAAATGTGCCATTAGACGTGTATTATATATTAAACTCCCTCTGGACCATCAATACACAAAACGTGAAATTTCCAATGCCCTATTATTAGGAAAGGGAACCTTAGGTAGACCCCTGTCTCCCCCATTTCCAATTACAGTTCAAGTTCCAGACTCTTCTCCCTTGCCTACTCTTCCTGAGGGGCAGGCTTTTTCCAAAAGACTTGATCCTACCACCTCATTTGCAGGAATGCCAAGAGGCTTAGGGAGATAAAGTCTCATGGGACACAAATGTTACTTACAGTGGGGGAAGGTGACAAAGAAGAAACTGCAGATGCAAAACGTCCTCAGGCCACCGGCTTTTCTCTGGAGGAGTAGGAATAGAAAATGATTCCAGGAGGGAGCAAGGTTAAATCCAAGGTGGACCCCACAGGCTGTCTGGGATGCTTGGACAGGTCTAGGAGAGGAGGAATGGATAGACTTCATCTCAGATCCGTGCAGGCAAGGAGAGATAATGGCCTTATAGGCAGCAGGACTAGCCTGTCCCCCAGATACCCTAGAAGAAACTCAGGCACAAGAGTGACAGCTGGCTCAGTTTCTCTTCCCCTGTACCCTGTTAATATTTGATCCTGAAAGAAAGCGGCGCCAGTTCTGCCGCCCCCCCCCTCCCCGCCCCGGGTTATCTTTTCACTCGGGGAGGAGAGCTGTGTGGCTGGCAAGGCCTCAAGACTAGGAATGCAGAGCCCAAGACCAGGGTGAGAAGTCAGCAGAAGTGCAATGATGGCAGTTTCAGATCATTCTGTTGGAGAGGGGGGAGGTGGGGGGGGGGACGAGAGAAGTTCATGCAGGCGCCCTGACTAGATAACTCAGCCGTGTGCCGGGTGGGGAAGTGGGGAGCCAAGGGTCGGCTTTGCCAGCTCATGGGCGCAAGCTGTCATGACTTTGGCGACGATGAAACGAGCCCTTGGTGTGAGTTTGGGGAAAGGGAGAGAAGCGCAACCCCCACGTTTTTTACTCCACCCGGGTTCCTGCCTATAAATAACCCCGATGCCACTTCAAAGAGGAATGAGAGCGCTGCAGAGGGGTTCCCGGGGCGGCGGGATGGGGCCTCACAGGCCCGGGAGTACACCACGCCCCCCATCCCAGGCGAGTTTGCATAAATAAACAAATCCAAGCGCCCCCCCCTTCCCGCGCGGTGCTCCCCCGCGGGCGGCGGAGGAGGAGTGGGGAGGAGGAGGAAGAAGAAGAGGAGGGGGGAGGGGGCGGGAGAGATTAGTTTGGGAAGTAGCACGAATTGCTCATCCGATCCGTGCAGCCACAGCGGGTGTGTCAAGTTACACAGGCGCCGGAATCGGCCTGGGCGCTGCTCCGCCGCGGCCACGACCCACCTCAGCCCAATGGGGCCCTCCACGCGCGCCCCTCCGCCCGGGGACTGAAACCGGCTCGCCGGGGACACGCGAGACACCCAGAAGGGCCGACTGGGCGACACCCGCTCGGGGATTCTGCAGACACTAGAGGGGAAAGACGGGCGGATTGCCGGCCAGATTCCCCCCACCCCCGACTTCCCTGGACTTTGGAACGGTCTCCGCAATAACTTTTATTTTTCGCACTTTGGGGTACCCCGATTACAGCTGATTGTGATTTGGGGGGGCTTTCTCTACCACCCCCCCCCTCCTCCTGAGATTTTTTTTCCCCTTGCTCTTGGCCGCCGGGAGTAAAGGAAAGGGGGCGTTTTCCAGCCACACAAACCCTTTCTCCCTCCTCAGTTTGGATCGCACCCTCTGGCGCCGGCTCGCGCCTTTATTTATTCTATTTATTTATTTATTGGTCCTCCAGAAGCGAGGGGATGGTAGCGGAGCGCGCCCGCGGCCCCGGGGAGCTGGGCGCGCCCCGGGCGGTG